CCCTTCTGTAGATATGGAAGTTTGGCAGCTTTATTTGCGTCTTTGGATTCAATATTGTTTCGCCCAGCAGTATGATATGTATGTCCTGTTGCTGGGCGACAGTGCGGAGTTCATGCAGCTTCTGCCGTATACCGTCCGGGTTCCAGTACATTAGGCGCAGGTTATTCTCCTCCATAGTGCCTGGCCAGAAGGTTTGCCAGCGTCTTCATGATCGCTGTTACGGGGTCAGTCCCGGCTCTTATATCGGCCAGGACTTGCGTGCCGACCTCGATGGCAATGCCAACTAAGCGCTGGATTGCATCAGCTGTTTCGAGGCCGGCCGTCGGTGGTCTCCTATATGAAGGCGTTGGTGCTGGTCTCGGGCGTTGGTCTTCTTGCTTTTGGGTGGAGCGCGCTCTGTGTGGTGGGTCGGGCTCTCTCTACGGGTGGGGCCCTCTCCTGCACTCTACCCACGCCCTTTTTGGTGGTCTCCTGTGTAACCTGCGCCTGCGAGGCTGTTGGTCCAGGTGTCGGGGTAGAGGTAACAGCCCGAGGAGGCTGCGACTTCTTTCTGCTTCTCTCCCGCCTCCTCTTCTTTGAGGGTTGCCGTTCTGTGGCAGGGTTGGCGGGAGGTTGCAGAGTCGCCCCGGTGGTTGCCCTTTCTTCTACGGTGGCGAAAGCAAGTGTTCGTCACAAAAGGATTCTTTTCCATACATACGGTGAGTAGACTTTCACCATTCTCATTTATACTTTCATCACCAAACGTTCCCAATATCCTTTCATAACCATGCCTCCTCACCCCAACACTTCCATTAAAATCTCCAAGCATAATTATATTTTCATTTCCCTTACACTTCATTAATACCATCCTTACCATTTCCCAAAACTGCTCTCGGATATAAGTGGGCTTAGACATGTCTGAGGCGTAGACCCCTAACACAAACAACTTCTTTAAGCCCACTTTCATTCGTATCCATAGCAGTCTTGGGCCTACAAATTCATACTCTTTCACACATTGGCCCATTCTTTCTGAAAGGATGATACCTACTCCCTGGCGTGCCCGCTCGATCTCGTCTACACCAGACCAGTATGCGGTATACATGCCATGTGTAGTGACATCCTTCCCCTTCCTTTTCGTCTCATTTACACATAACACATCTATTCCATACATCATATCGCATACTTCATCTATTTTATCATTCATTGCCCCACATACATTCAACGTAGCCAGACGGGCCTCTGCAATCCACTTTTCGCCTCTCCAGGAGACAGAACGTGACGGGTGGCGAACCTCGTCGCCGGTTTTCCTCCCGTAGATTCTTCGCACCCCTGCCCCATTAAAGGGGCGCCGGGAACTCGGGGCCATTTCTTTTATATAGTTCCTCATGGTGCGAAAATTTTGGGTAGTATGTTTTACGCTGCTACCACGGCGTGGAGCCGAGTCTGTGGTATCGGCTTGTCACTCATTTAACACCACCCGGGTGACACGTGTAGGGTGGGCCTAGGAATAGGTGGTCATAGCCTACGGACATGAGCGACTTATCCCCACAACAATACAATCTGTAAGAATTTTGTAAAATTACTGGGTGCTCGTAGGAAATGTAACCTGAGTATATTGTTACGAGCTTAGGGTTCGTGACAATAAAAATTGCCGATAGAATTACCAAAATTAACACTTTAATTCACTTTACACTAACTAAAACTTAAAAGACACTAATAATTAATCATACTGATTCACTTTATTTCCACCGAATCTTCGCTTGTTTCGCCAAATTCAATACTGCCCCGATCGCGTATTGCAGCGCCTTTAAATACGCCTTTTCACCGAAACATCCATAATATTCAAGTAAATACGCGCACCAATCGACCAGGCGCCGAAAGTTCGAGTGTAGGGCTTCTAGAAAGCTTAGTTCTTCAATTTGATACTAGATGGCGCTGTCGGTTGAAAGATTAGTCATGTCATTTTCTGGAAAGCTCTCCTCGCTCCGTTACCCGACACTACATGGCGCTAGTACCAGACGTCAACTTAGGCGCGCAACACTGCCCCCTCCTAAGAAATGCTCGTCCCGAGCATTATCGGCCCCATAATAACGCACCAGGCGATCCACATGGACGATCTTAGTAGTCCCTCTTGCGCCTTTCTGTATCCCGTAGATTACATTGTTGATCCTGGTCACAATCCGGTACGGACCGTCCCATTTAGCTTGAAGCTTCGGAGATTTCCCTTTGCTGCGGACTGGATTGTGCAACCACACTAGTGAACCTTCGTCGAACCCATTGTTGTTCATTTTGCGGTTATACTGGGTTTTCATATTTTCGGACATTTGCTGGCCCGATTGTCTGACGTGCTCATAAATGTCATTCATTTTGTTCCGCAAGTCATTTGTATAATCGGTTATACTGCGTGGGGCATCAGGTGGCATCTGTCCTTCCGCTCGTTGCTAAGGTGGTCTGTCCTGAGCATCCTCACGGATACCACTTCCTTACCCTCTTGCCTAGTACTGCTCTCGCAATCATTAGGAAAAGTCTTCTTGACAATGTATCTGTGTCGCCTCGCCATTTCCCGCTGCAGTGTCCGATAGTAAAGTCGTATTCCTGCTGCTGCTGGGTGGTGCTGCAAGCCGCAATACCCTCTCGAGATCGATCACCTTCCCTTTTTACAGATCGCTTAAGGCAGCTGGATCGAAGATGACCTCTTTCCCCACAGCCGTAGCACCTTGGGCTGAAATTTTTATTGTGGTCGCGAACCGTAACTGCTGCAAACTCCCTAACGTCAGGGGTAAGATGATACTGCCGCCGCCAGGCGGTGCCGTTAGCTGCACTACCCTCTCGAGATCGATCAACTTCCCTTTCTACAGTTCGCTTAAGGCAGCTGGATCCAAGATGGCCCCTTTCCCCACAGCCATAGCACCTAGGGCTGTATCCATTATTGCGGTCGCGAACTGTAGCTGCTGCAACCTCTCTGACACGATGGAAACGATGATCCTGCCGCACGGCTTACACCTCCAGTGCATGGGCCAAGGCATCCTTAAGCGTCTCGTGGTGCCCGAGCCTCACAGCAGCTCTGACTTCAAGGTTGCGGATGCCGTCGATGAATGTCTGCACCAGGTTCCCTTCAATGAGCGCAGGTACAGACCGGTATGCTTTTCGCATCAGCGTCTGCACCTTTAGAGCCCACTGCTGCTGGTTTTCGTTGATGCGCTGCACGCGATCTTTAAGCTGCGCACGAAAGACGTGTTCCAAATGAGCGTCGCCATATCTCGCCTCCAATGCCTCAAGGTCGTAGGCTCGTAGGTCACTTTCTTACCGAGAGCTTCCAACACAGTTAAGGCTTGGTCGCGCAGGCCTAGGGTGAGTGCAGTCATGGCCTGGCTTTTATTCCAGCCGTTCGCTCCTGACAGCCACTGGATTTTGTTGACCAGGAAGAAGTCCCATCGAACGACGGCACTTTTAACCCACGTAGCGAAGGTGTTGTAGCTACTACGGGAGCTGCAATTCCATCCCCCAGTTTGAGGTCGTCCAGCATTTTCTTCACGTCAGCCATCACGTTGTCAACCCGATTGTTCACTTGGTCGATTCGGGTTTCAGCTTCCGATAGGCAGTTGTCATGTTGAGCAACCCTATCCTTCACCTCCTTCATCTCCTTCCCGAAGGTAGCGTGAAGGTCCTTCTTGAGGAGCATCTGCTCTCCCAACCGACGAGCCTGTTCCTCTTGTACGCCCCGCAGCTGCACTTCCAATCGGCGTGCCTGTTCCTCCTGCTAGCGGGCCTGTTCCTCCTGTCGGCGGGCCTGTTCCTCCTGTCGGCGGGCTTGTTCCTCCTGTCGGCGGGCCTGTTCCTCCTGTCGGCGGGCCTGTTCCTCCTGTCGGTGAGCCTGCTCCTGCAGCTTCACCATCAGAGCACCTAGGTCTGGTGCTACAGACGTAGGAGCTGCTGACGGGCCGGCCTCCGTGGCCGGCGGCTGGCCCTCCGACGTCTGCGGCGTTACACCTCCAAATCGTCTCTGGTCCGTCTCCTGCTGGCGTTGACTTCGGGTACGGACACCCTCCGTGTCGTCCTTCGGTAAAATCGGCATGATTATCCCACTTCTGACACCAATTGTTACAAAATTAAAAAAAAAAGTACCAAAATTAACACTTTAATTCACTTTACACTAATTAAAACTTAAAAGACACTAATCATTAATCACACTGATTCACTTTATTTCGCTCCGAAGCTTCGCTTGTCTTGCCAAATTCAATACTGCCCCGATCGCGTATTGCAGCGCCTTTAAATACGCCTTATATTCAAGTAAATACGCGCGCCAATCAACCAGGCGCCGAAAGTTCGAGTGTAGGACTTCTAGAAAGCTTAGTTCTTCAATTCGATACTAGGTGGCGCTGTCGGTTGAAAGATTAGTCATGTCATTTTCTGGAAATCTCTCCTCGCTCTGTTACCCGACACTAGATGGCGCAAGTGCCAGACGTCAACTTAGGCGTGCAACAATATAATCAGCCAAATCATGATTGGTGATAGAAGATAATGAATTCGCGTCATTGTATAATATGCCCAGCAGAACTCTAGCTATTTCATGAAAAGTCTAAGACAGCGATCAATCTGCTTTTAATATTCGGCTTTCATGTCGTGATTTTTGACTTTAGAAAAGATTAAAACCATCCTCGAATGTTGCGAATAATTTATTTTGGTTGTTGGTTTACAGAACGTCTATTGATAGCCTAATTGAGATGTATTGAACAAAGGAAACAACCGTTTAGTAGCGAGGTAGTTTATTACTGGCTGTGCTGCGCATCCGCAATACATATCATTCCGCTACACTTAATTTTTGATACCTGTTAACAAAGTAGATTTACAGTGATCAGTTAATACTTAAATTTCTATTAAATATATAATACATAAAGTTTTAAATAAAACAATATTTAAGATACTTATGACTTAACAGATGTACAACATTTAATAAATTAAATAATACCACACCACACCACAACACACATACAACTAAATTTAATAACACAATGAATCATTTAAAAATATTTCTTATAATCTATCCTCTTCCTGGGGCGCAGTTGACGAGCGGGTGTCGGTGCCTGTGCTGGTGGTACGTCATTGCAGCGGACAGAATCGCTCTGAGGCTGTTCGACTCCGTTTTCGGAAGCTTCAGGCGAATCTGACGCTTCCGGAATCTCTGTTGAGTCTCCCACGCTGTCCTGTGCCGAATAATCGCCCCATTCATCCCCATTATCATGGTCTATTGCGTCAGTATTAACGGGTTGCTCTACTATGGTCGATGACCGAGGATTGCCTACAGAAGGTTCGGATAAAGGAGCATTAACGGGCATAGACGGTGACAAGGGTAACGACTGAAAATTGCGACTCTCAACATTATCAGTGTTATTAATTTTTAATGAATTATCGTTGCCCGTAAATTTTAACAGCTGATCTATATGTTTAATGCATGTTGCTTCAAATTTTATAATAAATATTTTGTACATTTTACTACCGACGTTCTCTTTAATTGTACCTAACTCCCAAGTTTCTGTCCGGGTACTGTACCACCGAGCCCAAACAGTATCACCTAATTCAAAAAATCTCCTACTACTACTACTACGTTACTAAAGGCATATTTAATTGTGTTTTTTCTATGGGTATAATTGTCGAGTGGAGGTCGTAGAATTCTACCAAACATTAATTTAGCCGGCGTTTCGCCGGTTTTACAGTACAGTGTTCCTGTAGTTAAATAAATATCCCAATAATACTTCATTAATTTGGTGCTGTGGTAGGTTATCTTTTAAAATACATTTTAGCATCTTTTTACAAGTCCTAACCGAATTCTCCGCTTGTCCATTACTTGGTGGATGATATATGTGGGAAGTTAAGTACTTAATACCATTGTTAGAGCAGAAGGTCTTAAATTCATTAGAATTTATTTTAACATCGTTATCAGAAACTAAAACATTAGGTATACCGAAGGTAGAGTAAATATTTTTTAATTTTGTAAAAAGCGATTGTGACGACGTTCCACTGTTCATGTATATACATTCCAGCCATTGCAGGCCCTTTGCCCCACGGTCATGTATCGACGCGTGCCATGCGCCGGGGGGCCACGGCGCCGGCGGATCGCGCGGCGGGGCGCAGCGTAAGCTCTCGCATGTTTTGCAGGACCCGATCCAACGTTCAATGTCGCGGTCGATACCCGGCCACCACATCCTAATTCGTGCGTTACTTTTGTTCACTACTATACTTTGTGCTATTCCTAGATGTGTGTCGTGCAGTTCTTTTAGCATGTATTCCCTAAACTTTGACGGAATTACTATTCTATGTCCCCTAAATAAGCACCCTTGTTCGCACTGTAAGTCGGACTTACATTGAAAATAAGAAGTATTGTTCGACAGCTTATTTTACGTGGCCAACCGTGACTCATGTACCTAATGACTGTTTTAAGAACCGTATCTTGTTGTGTCACTTGTGCAATATCGTGGATTGTCATCGCCGGTGACGTCTCATTCATAAACTTAACTACGTAGTAAGAGTCTAAATCATAGATTACTGTGTAGTCTAAATCGTTATCGTGGCATTCCGATGCGTTTCTACACGTTAAGGGTGAGCGAGAAAAATAATCTGCAACTACGTTTTTATCGCTCGACACATACTGGACAGTGTAATTATAGGCCGATAATATTATAGCATATCGCTGTAATCTCAGCGCTGTTGTAATCGGTATGCCTGTTTTAGTATCGAAGATAGAAACTAGAGGCCTATGGTCGGTTTTAAAAATAAACGGATCGCTTCGCCCATACAAAAATTGATGCAATTTCTTCACCCCGAATATAATGGCAGTTGCCTCTTTCTGAATTTGGCTGTAGTTACGTTCACTGGTGGTGAGTGAACGAGACGCATGTCGAGGGGGCGTTCGTGACCGTCGTCCGATCGTTGTGATAGAACGGCGCCTAGGCCCCCGGGTCCGGCGTTCACGCACAGTACGAGTTGTGCTGTGGGCTCGAAGTGCGCTAGCACGCGCTCGGACGCCAGCTCACGGCGCACTGCCGCCATGCTACGCCTCTGACACTCGCCCCACTCCCATGGCGTATCATGACGCAATAGCTCGTGAAGAGGATGGAGTAGTGAAAGAAGCATTTGGTATAAAATTCCTATAATAATTGACCATGCCTAAAAATCTCTTAACTTCGGTTACGTTAGTCGGCTCGGGCGTATTAATGATAGCGTGAACTTTTTCCGAGTCAGTCTTTAAGCCGTTTTTATCTATGACAATATTTACACTTAAAGAAATCACACTTGTCTCTCTGTAGTCGCAACCCGGCGTCACTTAACCGACTTAATACTTCTTCTAATCTTTTAATGTGGGAATCACTATTGGGGCCAGTTATACATATATCATCGAGCCATACGCTGACTCCATCTATGCCAGAGAGAAGTGTCTCCATAGCCTTTGGAAAGATTGCAGGTGCATTAGATAAGCCATACACTAGTCTTGTATATTTAAATAACCCTTTATGGGTATTTATTGTTGTAAGTAATTGGGATGGCTCATCTAAAACAAATTGATTATAAGCATTCTTAAGATCAATTTTACTGTATCGTTCGCCACCCCCAATTTTAGCAAATACTTCTTCGATTCGAGGTAAGGGGTATCTTTCAATCAAAAGATCTTTATTCAGCCTGACCGAGAAATTTCCTGCTATTTTTATTTTATTGTTTTCTTTCAAAACAGGTACAATAGGCGTGGCATACACTGATTGGTCAATTGGAACTAAAATACCTAACGTTACTAAACGGTTCAACTCTTCTTCGACTTTATCCCTAAGGGCAAAGGGTACGGTTCGTGGCTTGAGAAACTTAGGTTTTGCATTTTCCTTTAAACGTAAACATACTTTAAATTTATTGAACGAACCTAACTCATCCTGCCACAAATTAGGAACTTTTGCAATACATTGTTTACATTCTTATCAATACACATAGACATTATGTTAGTTGTTATAATTAAATTAAAGCGGACACAAAATCTCTACCCAGCAGGGGAGCAAAATAAAAATTTATGTTGTTAAAAATGGGGGTCCATTTTTAACAAAATAAATTTTTATTTTGTGTTCAACTTTATTATAACAAGCTTCAACCCAGAAATATCCAAGTGGAGAGATTTTATGCCCATTATACAGACACATTTTTATATTGCTGTTATTTAAATGATAATCGGAAAACTTTTCAGCATACAATTTTTCTGAAATTACACAGCTGCTCGAGCCTGAATCTAGTTCCATTGTTAAGTTGTGATTGCCCAAAATTAAATTTATTTCAATTGGTTTATCAATCAACGTACCTTAAGTTAAAGTTCTGGCATTCTACGCAACCTGTGTCCTTGACTTCATTAGCGCCGCATTCCTGTTCTGATTGAATGTGATAAGCACACGAGTTATTTTTATTTTTAGCACAAACTTTCTTTAAATGCCCTTTTATACCGCACTTTTGACACTTATAGCTTTTGTACCGGCATTTATCACTGTAATGATTTTTCATACCACAAACTGAACAGGAGCCAGTTTCGCGTCGCGATGTCCTAGCGCCGACACTGTCATTGCCACTGCCGTCACCTCCGCTTCCCCGAGCGAACTGGTGAATTTTTGCACGATACACAGGCTGATCCCTGATGAGCCCAAAATCGCTCGTATTCAGCATCACCTTTACCTCTCTTGCGCAAGCAGCTTGTTCCCCCAATTTCAATCGCCTTAGTTAGCGTAAGTGTTGTCGGGTTCTGCTCGAACAGCTTGTCGCGTTCCGGGCCAGAGCCCAGGCCTAGGACAAAACGATCTCTCAGATTCGTTTCCAGGGCGTCGCCAAATTCGCAATAGCTTGCAAGTCCTCTTAATCGCGCCGCCCAGTCTCCCAGTGATTCTCCTGGACTTCTAGTCGCTCCAAAAAAGTAGGCCTTATCTACGAAGGAGCACTGCTTTGGTTTGAAATGGCTGTTGAGTATTTGAACTAGCTCGTTGTAAGTTAACGATTCCACCGTGTTAGGGTACGCTAAGTTACGTACTAAGCGGTAGGTTTCATCGGTGAGATGAGTAAGCAGGATACCACTCTTAATTTCTTCTTTTGTCACATTATTTATCCTTAGGAACTGTGTTAATTTCCCATAAAATATTGACCATTCACTTGTTTTGTGATCGAAAACAGGCAAATTACCTAAATACGACATAATTTTTTTTACGCGTAGGTATGTACAAAACTCGTCGCCAGTGAGATGTATTGAACAAAGGAAACAACCGTTTAGTAGCGAGGCTAGTTTATTACTGGCTGGCACTAATACTTCCTGGGAAGTGTATCCTAAAATACACCCCCAGGAAAGGTATCTAATCGGAATGTTACATATTTTTGACGAATTCCTTTAATGACAAAAATAGCATTCATGATTAATGAATATTTTAGAACTGCATGTACTTCTTAATCCATGATAAGTATTTAGCAGCGTCCGTGAAGACGATGTATTCGTCGAGATTGCACCTCTTATCAGCCGAAGTTGCTGAAAGGGCTAGAGAGACGATTCCTCTTAGTTTCCAACGACCATCGTCCAAAACGAAAAGGCCACCGCCAGAATCGCCAGAGCAAGGCCCTGATCCATCGCGATTACCTGAAAAAAGTTAGTTTTAAACATGGTGTGGTAGATAGCATCTATAGTTAATATGAATGTACTCATAAACAAAAGAAAAAAACAGAAACAAGTGCGGAAGTGCAGAAGTTTTCAAGTTTACTATTAAATTCAAGTTAAATTTCTTATACATAATTTAAAATTAATGCAACTAAACTTGGACTAAAATTCATTTAAAAGTAATTTAAATAGAAAGTGTGTGTGTCAGCTCCGACGCATGACCGGAGTTTACTCCTTACGAACGATTATAAAATATATAAATTAGTAAGTAGTTACGTGGCTCACTGAGTCAGAAGTGGTACAACGTTCGTCAACTCACGATCTTAAAAAAAGGTTTTGGCATGCTCTGATCACGAATCTGCGGTCCGTTTTTGTCTAGGATGCACGGTTCCGAAGATGTGCAGATCAATTAACTAATATCTAATTGATATCCGTTAAGGGCCTCCACCGTCATTAGCGTCCCATTGTTCTTATCTATTTATCTATTGTTCATTGAATACCGTCATTGTCTATTTTTCCTCGGCGTGTGCGTCGGCTTATCAGTGCTATTGTATTATACTTCTTTGTTCCTAACTGCAACGCTAATCTGAATAATCAATAAAACACTACTACTACAAACCTTTTTTTTTTTTAAGTGGGTTAACTTCCATTTAGGCACGATCCTGACACACCCACCTCTCTTGCCTCCTTCACATCCATACACCTACTCATACATGCTCGTCGGTTAAGGGTACTCCTAATTTGGCCTGTTTTCAATAAATCGCCAATTTGGTCGATAAATTTTCGCCTAGGACGTCCCTTTCCGACTCTGCCATTCACTTCTGCAACATAAATTTTCTTTGTCACTCTTTCCTCATTCATTCTTTCCACATGACCAAACCACCGAAGCATTCCTTTCTTAATCCTGGTCACAACATTATCTTGCAAACCACACTCTTCTCTTATTACACAATTTCTTACCCTGTCGAATAAAACTATTATTTACGGATTTTATCGCGTTTAATTACTTTAATTTATTTTTATTATTATCCCGACGTTTCGGGTGCTTTACAGCGCCCATGGTCACGGGGGGGGACTGAGATGTTTGACGTCCCAATGTCATAGTTGGTCCGGCTACCTTCAGTTTTTTAATATTAATTTTTGGTCCGATTTAAGCAAAACGAGCTTATAGTATCATGAAGTCTTGCAGTGGTATGCTTGGGTTTGGGTTTAATTTTGTTAATTATAGGATCCCAAGCAGATGGTAGCACCCAACCATCTTCTCTATTGAAATTTGGATGTTTTTTAATTTCAATAGCCTCGCGTATCATCCTTGGTAGGAATCGGTGTTCTTTTGCGAGAATTTGTGGTTTATCAAATCTAATGTAATGGTGGGGACGATCTTGAACATGTTCGCAGACTGCAGACTTCCCGGAGCGTCGGTGCTTCACATCAGCTATATGTTCCTTCACGCGGTTTTTATAGATCTCTTTGTTTGACCTATGTAAGAGAGACCACATTCACAATCTAGCTTGTACACACCTGCATCTTGTAGAGGAATATTACATTTGATGGATGTTAAAAATTGACTAATCTTCTTCGGCGGCTTGTAGTATGTCTTAATGGACGCTCGCTTCAAGATGTAGCCAATCTTGTCTGTGACTCCTCTAACATATGGTAGTAGAGCAGGCGCGCGCTCGACTGTGGCCGGCTTCACTCGTTCACTGTGACGTAGGCGCGGGACCCGAAGCTTGTTGTCTTGCAATACTTGCTTGACATGCTGAAGCTCCGCGGCCAGATGTTTTCTGTCACAGATCCCTCGTGCTCTCTGAAACAAAGATTTACCCACGGTAGCTAACTGTGATGGATGATGGTGAGATTCACCATTTAAATATCGGTTGGTATGGGTCTTTAATAATAGTTTTATTCAATGTGTAGTGTTCGCGTAAATTTAAGAAATCATTCTTACCCTGTCATTCAGATTCAGCCCTAACATACTCCTTAACGACCGCATTTCTACTGCGTTTATTCTACTCTCGTGCTTCTTCTGCCACACCTAACTTTCACTACCATACGTTAAAGTAGGGACCAACACAGCATTGTGAATTGCCATACGTGCCTTTTCGACACATTTTGACTCTTCACAATAGAGTGCAAGGCCCCATTTACTCTATTTCCCGCATTCACTCGTCGTTCTATATCCTTATCATATCTCCCATCCCTGCTAAATACGCAGCCCAAATATACAAACTCATCTACTTGCTCGATCAACTCCCCTTCTATTCTTATTTCACAAATCGTTTTACTTTCATCTCTTTCAAAAACCATAACCTTCGTCTTACTTGCGTTCACTTTCATACCCCTTTCTTTTAATGATCCGTTCATTAATGTAACCATCATTTGCAACTCGGCCGCCGACGACGCAAGAATAACTTGATCATCGGCGTACAAAAGGCATTTGACGGTTAACTCACCCATTCTTAATCCGCATTCTTCAACTTTCAAATTTTGCAAACAACTGTCCATAAATAGGTTGAACAGCCACGGGGAAGCCACACAGCCCTGTCTGACACCTTTATGGATGTCAAACCAGTCCGAGTAGACCCCGTTGATCCTAACACAAGCACTAGAGTCCCTATAAAGAGACTCCAATGCCTGTACCAAGCCAGCGCTCAACCCAAATGAGTTCAGTGTTTGCCATAGCAAATCCCTATCCACTCTGTCATATGCCTTTTCCAAGTCCATGAACGCACAAAAAACCTTTTGGTTTTTGGCCAGAAACTTCTCCGCGATCATGCGCATGGAAAAGACTTGATCTGTACATCCCATTCCCTTTCTAAATCCCGCTTGCACATCCCAAATTTTTCCATCAGTTTCTTTAATGATTCTTTCAATCAGTACCTTAGCATACAGTTTTCCCACAATGCTAAGAAGGCTGATGCCACGGTAGTTTTACAGTCCTGCTGCGACCCTTTTCCTTTATATACTGGGACTATCACGGCTTTGCACCAGTCTACCGGTACCCGCTTCAGTTCCCAGCATAAATTAAACAAGGTGTGCAGCAGGCCTGCCACCACTTCCTCTCCAGCCCTTAGCATTTCGAGTGAAACTCTATCATATCCGGCAGCCTTACCTGCTTTCATGCTTTTCATTGCTTTCATTATTTCATCTATACTTATCTCGCTACATCTTTCCTCTTCTTTCGGAGTTTCTACTTCACTTAGTACACACGTTGTCTCCTCACTCATAAACACGCTTTCAAAATATTCCCTCCATCTCTTTAAACTCAAAACTTCATCATTCAGAATATAGCCATTCTCGTCTCTTATAGCATTCATCATAGGCTGTTTTGAATGTCCCCTGGCAGTTCTTACAAGTTTCCAGAACATTTTAATATTTGTCTGGAAGTTATCCGATATTCTTCTATCATTCTTATCCGTTCTTTCTTGCTTTTTTCTTTCAACTACTTCTTTTACTCTCTTATTAAGATGTCTAAAGACTGCCTTTTTTCTTTCAATATCACCATTCGTACCACTAGAATTAGCAGCCTTTGTTGCTAGTAAATCTAGCCATGCTCTCTTCTTTGCTTCAACTTCCATACGTATCTCATCATCCCACCATAACGTATTATTTTTCCTTTCATTCTTTCTCTTACTAACACCACATACTTCGGTAGCTGCATCCACTAAACCTTTCTTTACATTTTGCCATATATTCTCCAAGTCTAACTCCTTCATACATAATTCATCCAAACCACTTATATTTTCTTTCAGCCTAGATTTGAACTTGTTTTTATCACTTTCATCTTGTAAACTTTCTGTTCTAATACGCTGTAACGCAGTGGTAGACACAGACGATCGATGGCGCCAACGCCTGAATAGACCATTAATTCGGCACAAAACTAAATAATGATCTGTTCCTACGTTAGAACCCCGGTAAACTCTCGTTTCTACCACTGCGCCCCTCAATCTTTCATCCACAATTATGAAATCTATCATGCTTCTATCGTCACCTCTTTCCCAAGTATATATGTGAATCCTCTTGTGGCGAAAGCTAGTGTTCGTCACAAAAATATTCTTTTCCATACATATGGTGAGGAGACTTTCACCATTCTCATTTATACTTTCATCACCAAACGTTCCCAATATCCTTTCATAACCAAGCCTCCTCACCCCAACCCTTCCATTAAAATCTCCTAGCATAATAATATTTTCATTTCCCTTACACTTCATTAATACCATCCTTACCATTTCCCAAAACTGCTCTCGGATATAAGTGGGCTTAGACATGTCTGGGGCGTAGACCCCTAACACAAACAACTTCTTTAAGCCCACTTTCATTCGTATCCATAGCAGTCTTGGGCTTACACATTCATACTCTTTCACACATTGGCCCATTCTTTCTGAAAGGATGATACCTACTCCCTGGCATGCCCGCTCGATCTCGTCTACACCAGACCAGTATGCGGTATACATGCTATGTGTAGTGACATCCTTCCCCTTCCTTTTCGTCACATTTACGCATAACACATCTATTCCTCTATCATACATCATATCGCATACTTCATCCATTTTATCATTAATTGCCCCACATACATTCAACGTAGCCAGACGGGCCTCTGCAATCCACTTTTCGCCTCTCCGGGAGACAGAACGTGACGGGTGGCGAACCTCGTCGCCGGTTTTCCTAAAAAACAACAAACAAAATCTTATTACTTATTATCTATAAAATAGGAGCGAAACATCTCATCCACTAAAATATCGTTGCACAATGTGTTCCCTGTAAATATACTCGTGAAACTATTAATTGAAAATCCCTGAAACTTATATAGCAAATACATTAAGCAATATTCGCCACAAACTGAAGTCCACTTATTCTGAATTCTATCAACATTCCAGTTCTATCTTTTACAATTCCTTTTTAAAAACTCTAGATGGTATCGTACAGGTGATCGTCCATATGAATCAAAATATTGACCGACGTCATTCGTATCGATATATAAA